ATTCCTACAAATTTGTATTAAATAATAACAAGATTACCAAAAAAATAGATTCTTACACACGTGTATTAATAATAAACTTATAAATCTAAAATTATCATATTCATATGACAAAAGCAACTTTATTACATTATTTAATTTCTTAATTATAAATATTTAGTCAAACTTGTATTTCAAAAATAGAATGGAGTAAATTATATTAAATAGGATATAATTTTAAAAATATATATATGAAATAATTATTACAATAAAATATTTAATTAGTTTTAAAACCCCTTTCATTGCCTCCTTTTTTGGCGGGAAAAAGAAGAAAAGAGTTTTCATAGGCAATAAATTAAATCCCCTCCCTAAACCGGTGTCATTTCCCACCTCAAATCTTTTCCCGAACTCTTGAACAAACGACCCCTAGAAAGAAAGAAGTTTATGGTTAACCCTAGACGGACTCGGTATGCCAAACTGCCAATAATAATGCAGTTCACAGCCTAATCCTACACTTGACTGTATGAGCAAGAACTCGGAATCATGCATATTCTCGTCAAATTAGAAGAACGACAATAGAGAACAATATGAGGAAAAATTAGAAGGAAATGAAAACTTTGCGGTTAACCCCAAATAGACTCGGTATACTGAACTGCCAATCAATAATGCAGTTCACAGCCTGATCCTACACTCGACCGTATGAGCAAGAACTCGGAATCATGCATATTCTTGTCGAATTAGAACGACAATAGAGAACAATATGAGAAAAAATTAGAAGGAAATAAAAACTTTGTGGTTAACCCCAAATGGACTCGGTATACCGAACTGCCAATCAATAATGCAGTTCACAGCCTGATCCTACACTCGACCGTATGAGCAAGAACTCGGAATCATGCATATTCTAGAACGACAATAGAGAACAATATGAGGAAGGATTACAAGGAAATGAAAACTTTGTGATTGATAAGTAATTGATCCTTCATTCAAAAAGATGATAATGTTGATAGATGGAATGTATAACATCAGGCACACACATTGCAAACAGCCTAATAATATCAGAGCAGTAAGTCGCATCTTTCCTAGCATAAAAACAAAGAATTTTTCTTCTAAAGGCAATCAATGTTGACTTCTTTTTTTTATTTCAGCCAAAGCTGAGGGCTGCACTACTAGATTCTCAGCCCGGTTCTCCCTCCATGCTTAAGACAGGATAAGATAATATCATGAAAACTCGCGAGATTTCTTGCCAAAAATGATTACACACCTCTGATCCCATTGGATAGAAAGGTTGCTAATGCCTCTTAAGCGCGTTCATTTTGTCCCTAAGATAGTAAAGCTTGGCCCTCCGCACTTTCTTCTTGTCCAACACCGTAATCTCTTTTATGTTTGGTGAGTATCTGTCATGCATCAACCACTAGTTTAGTCATACGCAAAGACCCATCAGAAAAACACAGGAATTGAACTTGTCAGAAGTTAGAGAGTAGCGGGAAAAAAATATTCGAGTAATCGAGATATTACAAAGCTAAGAGTTCGATTTAGTTTTAGTGACCAAGAACATCTAAAAAGATGAAGACTACACATATGTATGCACATCTTAATCACCAACTACCACGAGAAGACTAGCAGGGAGAAACTATTCGAGCAATCGAGATTTCACAAAACTAAGAGTTCGATTTAGTTTTAATGACCAAGAACACATCTAAAAAGATGAACGCTACACATATGTATGTACATCTTAATCACCAACTACCACGAGAAGACTGGCGGGGAGAAACTATTCGAGTAATTGAGATTTCACAAAACTAAGAGTTCGATTTAGTTCTAGTGACCAAGAACATCTAAAAAGATGAAGACTACACATATGTCTGTACATCTTAATCACCGACTACCACGAGAAGTGCGTTTCTCTTCCTATGTTATCGAAATAGAATATTGTACATCATGTACTAATTCATTTGTATCAGAATTGTATTAGTTTCTCTCTAAATTAAAGACAATTCATAGAGGCATATGCGTGAAAGAATGGCATGAACAAAAAATAAGCATAGAACATGCTTCCTAAACACAAAGATGAGCAGGGGAAAACATGGAATTGAGTAGGTAACTTAGCAGAAAATAAAATATAATTAAAAATCCGCATTACTTACAAAGGGAAAAGAGACTCAATCCCAACACCAGCAACTACCCTCCTTAATCTAAAAGTTGTGTTTAGACCAGCGTTCCGTCTGGCAATTACAATGCCTTTCAACGTTGAGACACGTCGCTTGTTCTCAGGTACTTCCTGCTCACATATGATAGGGAAAGCCAGAAAAGTGCTCAATTACCTCATCTACAACTAGTTTTAAGAATAGTAACATTATGTACGACCAGTAAAAACACGTTAGACTAAAATGAACTCTACCACTTTGAGCTGCACAATATAGCCTGGTTTTATATCTGGAATTTCTCTCTTTGCTTTTACCTCCTCAATAGCTTCCTTGTCTAAAATCTGCGGGGAAAAGAAACAATATGTTGAAATCAAACGGATGGGACGATGAAATAAAATTACTTATTTTCCAAAATGCTCAGAAATGTAAATACCTGCATTATGTGTTTTGAGGTTTTATCAAGCCTCTTAAATTTGATGCGAGGAGTTATATCACTATCAATTGCAGGAGATCCTTGTGGAGCTGATTCCATCGAACTTGTTGTCGCAATGCCCCTGCTAGAAAAAGGAGCTGCAATTTCTGCCAACTGAAATAAATGTTTCCTTGGACTTTGGAATGCTGGACAAGCTGAAGATACACGCTTTCCCGAAGGCAAAAATTCCATTTGAGAGCCCATATCTTTCTGCTAAATAATTGAACAAAATGTTACGAAGTGATATATTTCAAAACAGACTCTTAAATAAATAGATATTGCTTCCAATGAGTACCATAATCCAACAGATATACATAAGATTCTGGAAAAAAAAATCTCACGAAGGTAGTCGATAACTTCTCTGTTTTTCCTATTCATTTTTGTAAATAAAAAACGAGTAATATTGAGAGAAAAGAGGTTCAAAAGAGGAAGATGAGAAATTCCAGAAAGATAACAAGGAAATTCCAGAAAGGCTATCCAATTGGCAAGGATCATAGAAGCTAAGAAACACAATCACAGTGTTTCCTTGAAAAAAATACAACAGCATGACACAAGCTAATTGTTCATCAGACATAGTAATTACACAATGAGTAACTGATTTTCTATACTTTATTTGTTGTGAAGGAAAATAGAATGCATAATAACTAAAAGCCTAAGACAATAGTTGTATCAATTAAGTCATATTAAACTCAGGAGCCAATCCCAGCTGGAGTACTCATACTCTAAAACCTTTTAGCAATGAGACATTTAGCAGAAATCACTTGTGATCGGTATTAGAGACACTTGCAGAACATACACAATTGATATGATATTATACATATTACGTTCATCCCGACCGCCAATCAAAGACCGATATCAAACGATTTACTTGTGTATCATTGCTTATGAACTTAAACATGAATCATAAACGAATTCGAAAAAGCTTGTAATTAGAACTAGCTTAAACGTCGCTAATCACATAAAAAAACTAAAGCACCTTTACTGGATAGAAACTCTAAGAATAACGCAAGAACAAATCATACAACTAGACGACCATAATGTCCAACATAGTTAAAAATAAACATAAATACATACAAAGGCTTCCGGATATTGATTCCCCAACTTCGAGAAAGACCTGAAGAGGGAACCATTCAAAGACCCATATGGATTCGCAAAAAGACGAAGGCTGGTAAGACTATTTTCCATCGACATTGACGCCGAGCAGCAACTGCTAGCATCCCCATTTAGAGGGTAACCTCTAATCGGCTTAAAATGAGCGTAGGAACTTTGCCTTCGTACCAATTGATTAATTCTGGGAAAATTTTGCATTCTCACGGTGGATTTCGAGCTGCATAACCCACATAAAACTCATGAGCTAGAAAACAATCTTGATAGAATTGTTACAAAAGAATCGAGTGAGAAGGAATATGGTAGTGAAGCAGCGTGTAAGAAATGTAGCTTAAATTCATATTGCACTGATCAAAATCGCTGGAAATGCCGGAGCTGATTCCAAATCGACCGGAAAAGAAGATCCCACTCACCGATCGTACTCGGGGAGAGCTACTGAATCTCTAGCTGAGAGGAGATCTTGGAGCCTAAAGCCCTAAATCAGGAAACGCAGAGGTTTTTGGTCGAGCAGACGCTCTTGCAATGGAGATGGACCTTGAGTTTCCCGCTTTGCACAATGGGCCCAATTAGTGGGCTTTCTGCACAACCGTCGCCTCTTCCATTATTGGGCTTTGAATTTCTTTAAAAATAAAAAAAGAGTTAAATTGCGCCTCTTAGGTCTCTAAGCTTAAAAAATATGTTTAATAATTAATATATATTTAAATTAAAATATTTTTAATAGCGCGGGAATAAGACCACGTGAGATCCTACATCGAGTGGATTGTGAAGTCTCCATCGATTGGAGAGGGGAACGAAGCATTCATTATAAGGGTGCAAAAACCTCTCTCGTGAGGTTGACGGTGTAACAAGTCAAAACGGACAATATTTGATAGCAGTGAACTTTGGGCAACTACAAATGATATGCTAGCGAAGACACTGGGTGGTGTGCCAGCGAGACGTTGGGCTCCCAAGGAGTGGATAGTAAGAATTCACATCAGTTGGAAAGGGAAACGATATATTTCTTATAAGAGCGTAGAAACCTTACTTGCAGACGAGAAGGCCAAAACAAACGATATTTGCTAGTATGGGGAGTAGTGGACTTCGGCTATTACACCCCACTTTAAGCTATTCTAGTCTCTAGTCATTGTTCTTCCACGGACTAAATGATAGAAGGCACGGAAGAGATAAATTAATCATAGTCATTTTGGGCAAAACTCTTATCTCGGCATTAAGAGGATAGCCCGCTAAAGTCTTGTGATAGAGACCTCAGTTAGAATGAAAATTTAGAAATTTATTCGACACGATCAAACCATACTCTTAGATTAGCAACGAACACGTGAATTTCCAATGTAATACGAGTGGTACATTCTATTTGATATCAATTATACAAACTTTTTACAGAAGCACCATTTGTAATACTAATCACAGACTACAAACACCGCAACATAAATGAATCTTCTGTTCAAAAGTATCATCAAAAAGACTCAAAGCTACTGTTTTACTTTACTACAATACCTAATGCACTACAAAGAAAAGTAACAGGCAAAACTCAGATCAACATCAACAGCTCAAGCAAGAACGCATCTCATTTCGACCCAAAACCGAACCAATATGATTCATAAACAAAGACCGAGATCTCTGAACTCAGCTAAAACTCGGTCGAACCGAGCCAATCTTATCTCATTTCGACCCAAAACCGAACCATTTTGCCAGGAAGTTTTTATTCTTTCCACGAGATATGTTGGGTGTTTCTCTAGCCGGTGTTTGAATAGGTAACAAACTAGGTTTAGCTGCAAGAGAAACATTAGACAGTTACCATGTTAATAGAATCTCTCATTAATCTAGTTTATGCTGTCAAACATACCGGATTTCGGCGAAGCCCTGCAAGTTTTGGCAGTTCCAAAATCATTAGGTTTCTTTTGTTGGTTAATTGTGTCATCATGGGGTGAGATGGATGTTCGATTCCTCTCCATAATACGCTCTACATGCCTCGCGTCATCGTTGCTACCTATAGAAAGGTTACGAAGTCATACATCAACATGAAAAGTTGATACAATATGTTGATGCAACTGAGAGACCATGAAAGAATAGGAAGCTGACCGTCATCAGGAGGCTTTCCATAACTTTGCTGCAAGGCATCCAAAAATGGACGCTCCTTTTGAACTCGCATCACTAAATATGAAACAAAACCAGGGGAAAAAATGGTGGCAAGATTGATATTTCTTAACAGAGAGTGGGCTGGTAAACGCATAAAGAGAGAGTAAAACTAGATCGATGAAGCGTACACTGATCATAAAGTCCGTTCCTACAATTTGGTGCCGAGCCAACCGATAGCAACTGAACAGCCTCGGCATCTCTCGTCATCGATGATTGAGCCGATCCATCAAGATTTTTTGTGTCCAACAGAATTCCTGCGAGCTGGAAGTCATGAGATGAACGTCAGAATTGCTTCAAACTGTGGACAAATAAGAACAAATGTTCTGTATAGTTAAAGTTACCAAGAGATTCTTCAACAAAGGAGTTTGAAGCAAATGATAGGCATCCTCACAATAGTTATCAGTAAGAATGGTGCACTGAGATCCAACCTAAGAGATAAACGGTAAAGAATGCACCCCGAAACATGACAACTTCGAATGGCTTCTCAAAAGATAATTTACAAGTGAAATTCATTGTGCACTCACCCCATCACTCATCTTAAGGACATCGTGCCCTACGACGAGGACGCTAGTTCGACCAGCCATCATCAGACTTTCTAAGTCCACCTGAACCACATAACAATAACTAAAATCAGTACTCTACACATTGTCAAAGGTTATCGTAATGGCTCAAGCCCACCGCTATCGATGTGGGATCTCACAGAGAATGAAACATTTTTTACAATGGTGTGGAAACCTCTCCCTAGAGGACGTATTTTAAAAACCTTGAGGGAAAGCTCGAAAGAAAAAGCCCAAAAGAGGACAATATCTACTAATAGTGAGCTTAAGCTGTTACAAATAGTATCAAAGTCAAACACCGAGCGATGTGCCAGAGAGGAGACTGAGCCTCGAAGGGGGTACACACGAGGTAGTGTGCCAACATGGACGCTGGGTCTCAAAGGGAGTGGATTGTGAGATCCCACATTGGTTGGAGAGAGGAACAAAACATTCTTTATAAGGGTGTGAGAACCTCTCCCTAGCAGATACGTTTTAAAAACCTTGAGGGGAAACCCGAAAGGGAAAGCCCAAAGATGACAATATCTACTAGCGGTGGGCTTGGAGGTACATTTGTATCATATCAATCATTGTACTCTAGATTTAATAACCTTGCTCTAGTACAATGAAGTTGATGCATTACATGGTATCCACGCTACATCTTATTTAACATGATTAACAGAAACTACTTAACGCATGAGATTCTTATAGGTCATAGTTACCATTTCATCTTATTGATAGGTCGGTTTCGAAAACAATCTATCAAGCATGGCACCAAATTACCTCATCAGTGAAAAGAATCGAGGAAGCATCGAGTCCAAGGTGATAAAAGAGCCAAGCAACCTGCCGTTGGTTCCACATATTTCCCCTCTGCATATTCATCACAGGCACCACAAGACACACTCGGCCGCTCTCTGCATTACTCTGCCTCATTTTGTTCTCTAGTAGCCAGGCATAGCACACTGCCGCTACCATTGAACTAGTGCCTGCATTCCAAAATTGTCAAAAGCTTTTTCAATACAGAAACAAGCAAGTAACCCCATCTCTACAATTACAAGCTTCAACATCATTCTATAAAATTAGGGCACAAAACACTCGCATTATCTTCATTCTCAACAAAACTACCATCAATTCATCAAAAAAGATGCACAAATCAACATTTTAAGACTACACTCAACTGTTTGAAGTTCCGGATAGAATGATTTTAACTTCAACATTAAGCTGCCCATCCGAGATTTGCTGAATTTTGCTACGCTGCTCTTTAAGGAACCCATTAAGGCCAAACTCCAGATCTTCAGAATCGTCCCTCGAGAACCCATTTAGATTGGATTTAGGTCTAATCGATTGAATCGAACAGGCCGGCGACGAGACCGTTCTTCTCGGCGGCGGATTCGTTAGGGTCTTCGGGGGAGAAAGAAGGGCATCCGGCGGAGGAATTGGGAGGCGAGAAGGGGGAAGATCGGTGTGGAACCGAGATTTGCGAGTAGTGGGAGGAGGATCGGAGATTGGGGGATTGGAGGGTTTGAGGACGTTGGATATCCATTTCTGAACGGCGGAAGAAGGATTTTTCGGCTCCTCCACGGCGGCGGAGGAGATTGAGAAGGATTCTGATTTGTTGCGGCTATGGCGAACAACTTTAGAGAGGATCTCACCGCTGAAATTGTCCACAGCTCTGTGCCTGTCGTCGCCATTGACAAACAGAATCGATGCAGTTAGCGGTTAAGCTTTTATATGTTTTGTCCCGACTCCTTCGGCGAATAAATTCGTAGCCAAAAATATTTTTTAAAATTTAATGAAATTATTTATAAAAATTTTAAAAAAGTATATCAATAAACTCGCAAAAATCATTAATTAATAAAAAATTAAAAAAAATTATTATAATTGGAGGAACCAAAATTAACTTTTTCCATATATCTAAACCTAAAATATATTTATATTTAATATATACATTTTAATTTATTATAATATATATGCTCGATATTGAGTTGGTAATTTATTTTAATATATACATTTCAACTTTAATGTAACAATTTAAGAATTAAATTGGAATTTAATATATATATACAGTGGTACAAAAATAAAAATTTATTAATTTAAATGATTTTTACCACTCATTATCTTTATTTTTATTATTTAAAAATACAATTTGTGAAATATAACACCCAAATAATTACTAATACTTCCATAAATAGAAACAAAACATTACAAAATTTATTTTTTATTTAATATAAAATAATTTTTTTTATCTAAACCCTAAACCCTAGATAGGTTTTAAAAATTTATCCATATCATTTTTTTCAAAAAAAAATATAATTTATCCATTTTTATATCAATAAAATCAATTTTATTATATTTAAATTTTCATTTTTTTTAATTTATAGGAATGAAAATAATATAATAAGGTATCAATTAAGATTTTTTTGGTAGGGAATTATATATTCAATATAAAAATAAAAATACCTCTAAATTCTATATTTTATCTTTAAAATATCCATCCATTTTCAAAATTTATTATTATTTTTATTAAAAGTATTTTTTATTTTTCTATTAGTTTTTAAAAATATTAATTAAATTTTTTTAAATTTTAAGGTATTTTTTAAAGTTTAAGAGTATTTTTAAATAGTTTTAAAAAGTTAAAATATATATATATATATATATATATATATATATATATATATATATATATATATATATATATATATATATATATATATATATATATATATATATATATATATATATATATATATATATATATATATATATATATATATATATATATATATATATATATATATATATATATATATATATATATATATATATATATATATATATATATATATATATATATATATATATATATATATATATATATATATATATATATATATATATATATATATATATATATATATATATATATATATATATATATATATATATATATATATATATATATATATATATATATATATATATATATATATATATATATATATATATATATATATATATATATATATATATATATATATATATATATATATATATATATATATATATATATATATATATATATATATATATATATATATATATATATATATATATATATATATATATATATATATATATATATATATATATATATATATATATATATATATATATATATATATATATATATATATATATATATATATATATATATATATATATATATATATATATATATATATATATATATATATATATATATATATATATATATATATATATATATTTAAAACATTTTAAAATTTTAGATTATTTTTTATACTTTAAATTCGAAACTATATTTGTGAACATCTTTTTTAATTTTATTTAAATTCAAAATATATATATTTTTTATTAATTTAGCTAAAATAAAAATTTTAAACGTCCCTGGTTCGGTGTGAAATACCTTCTAGCGGACCTTGAGAGTGGATCTCTCCGATCATTGATCAAAGCTGACGATCTGCCGTTGGCCGCCGCAAACCTCGGCGATCCGACGAACCGAGCCGGCGAATTAGGCCGCGAAGGAGAAGAAGCCACCAACCGGCGCGCCTCATCTAGCCACTCCTCCGTCAATAGGCTATTTCTACTTTTATTACTCCGATCAAACGATTCTTCTTCTTCTTCTTCTTCTTCTTCTTCCTCTTCTTCTTCTTCATTTTCATCACCAGTCAAATTATAGGCCTTCTTATCCTTTTTCACGCTTCCGAAGAACATATCGTTCATAAAATCAGTCAAATCTGGCGCCTGCTGCAGAGCCTTGGGCCGAGAATTTGCCAGTCTCTTTTGCACGATTATGTGCCCTAATTTCGCCATTTCTCTGGTATTCTCCCTGCTAATCCTCAATTCCATTCCTCTGAAACCTTAATTATTTCTAGTTGGAATTTGAATTTTGGGGTTTGAGCGATCGTATTTCGTTGAGCAGATTAAATTTGTACTCGAAGAACAGATTTGTTAATTCGAACATAGGATTTATCATTTTTTTGGGATTTTTCGCGCATAGATTATGGCCGGCGGTTTCGATCTGTCTTTTCTAATGAAGAAATTTGGAACTTTGTCGATGCGAGAGCTTCGTCTTTAATATTATCCTATTAGTTTTTTAAACTAATAAAATTATAATTATAATTATAATTTTATTAAACATAAATTTTAAATAAATAATTGTTTTTTTCTTATAAACTTAAAATATATATATATATTAAACTTGTAATTTATTTACTTATTTTATTAATTAAGCTTGGGAGATTTTATTAAGAATAAATTATTAAATAATTATTACCAGCTGTAATTTTCAAATTCATTTTAGGAAAATGTTGAGTTCAAATTAATTTATCAACTTTTTTATTATGAATTTTAATTAATTAACTTTTTTATTATGAATTTTAATTATTAAAATGTATTATTTAAAAAAAAATAAAGTAAGTTAAGAGTACTTGATACCGCCATCTTCAATGCATTACGAGACAAATTCTATTATATATAGAAATTTTTCATCATTTAACGGTTCATTTTTATCTAATATTTTAATCTCAATTGCGGTCAAATTTTCTGTCGAGTCGTTAAGATAGGTAAGTTGTCCTCTTCCTCTCGTGACACGTTAAGAGTTGCCTCTTATTAACGTGTTGAGAGTGCCTCTCTTTTACATCAAAGTATAACAAAGCGTTTAGGATTTTCGATAATCTTTTAATTTTTAATTTTAGAAAATTAAGTTTACAAAATCTAATCTATATTTTTTTATCAATGTTTTAAAACTTTAAGCGAAGGAATATAATTGGAGGTTTTGAAGAGTAAAATCAAAACAGAAATTATAATAATAATAATAATAAAACCAAATTCATATTGTATAGGAAACCACAAAAATAAATATAAATATAATAGAAATTAGGTGGGAAATAAAATTTATAAAAAAAATACACATAAACTTAATTATTTATTTTAAAAAATACTTATTTTACCTTCATTTTCTATAAATATTTCAAACAAAATTTTGAAATTAATAAATAAATAAAAAATTAACATGACCGACCTAAAATGATGTGATGTGATAATACTATGATATTCGTATAAATTAAATATGAAAGAACCATATTTAACTTTTCGTCCAACATTTTAAAATATTTTTTATTTTTATAATAATTTCAAAATATTTATAAATAATAACAATCCATAAGAATTTTGTAGTTAAATTTTGTTCATGAACTCAAATTCAAAAATCAAGGTTAAAATAGTTGGAGAAAATAGAATATTATATTATTTAATTAATTTATGTTAGAGAATAATTAAATACAAAGTAAATTAGATTTTTTTTTTTAAATTCAATGTATGCGTGTTGGTTTTATTCTCTTAATTTTAGCTATCTAATTTAAAACATTATATTAATTTATAATAAATTATTTGCATATATATATAAAGACAACTATATATACTTATAAATAGTCAATGCGTTGACTTTTGATAAGGACTAATTTGTAAATATTAATATTCCTACTACAATTTCGTGATAGATAAATGTATCTCTCCATATCATTTTTCAATAAATTTATCAAAATTTATCTTTTTGATTCCATGTATTTTTACGAAATTACGTTTAAAGACTTTTTTTTAGTTCATACAACTTTTTTATTAATCATTTAAAATTTATTTACGGCCATTATATTGATATTTATAATTTTTTTTAGACGTAAATAAAATCATTAAAAAAAAAATAGAACGCTAAACTGTAAATTTATCAAATTATAAGGACGAAATACTAATTTTTAAAATTGTAAAGAGTAAATTTTAATTTTCATTAAATGATTTGTATGGGTGTGAAAAGAAATGATGTGAAACCGATTGAAGCTTACTTATGCATTGACTTTGAACGAGGACTAATATACAAATATTTATACAGCTATATATTATGCATCGTGTCTCTATTATAAAATATATATCTCTCAATATCTCAAGAAATTATCTACTTTACATTTATTCCACGTAATTTTATCCTTCGACTCTCGAAAAAAACCGTATTTGTACTATGATCTTATCAATTACTTTTAAACTAAATTTGATGATCTGAAAAACTTGATCCAACCAACTCAATCCGTACGATTTAGGTTGAATTGAGTTCAAATAAATAATTTTTTTTTATGGATTTATTGTTAATTTTAAAAAATACATTTTCGATCCTAATACAATTACATATAATTATATTTATTTGATCTGATTTTGTAATTATTTTTTTATTATTATTCTCAAACCAATTTTAAAAATAATTTGTAATTAATTTTGATTAATTATTTTAAAAAAATAATAAATAAATATTTTACAAAATAGCAGTTTTTTTTATGTAAAAACAAATTAAGACGCTGATTCAACTCAATTCACGAACACCCATAATTATAATCTAAATATTATAAAATTATGGACACAAAATAGCAGTTTATTTTTTTTATGTAAAAACAAATTAAGACGCTGATTCAACTCAATTCACGAACACCCATAATTATAATCTAAATATTATAAAATTATGGACTCGATAAAGATATTTATTGATAATATATTAACGTTAAAAAAGATCGTTCGAGACCTAAATATGTTTTCGTTAAAGTTTAATTATGAAATTTACAAAATTATTAAATTTGATATGTCGGTATATGTATATCGACATCACCATCGATATTTTCATCTTTGTCTCAAATAACATTAAATTAATTAATTTTTAGCTATGTCACTAACCTATAATTTTTAAACCATAAAATAGATTAGGAACTCGCACACAATCTGGTGGAGGAGTATGGTTGACCCGGCCATGAGGCATATGAAAATTATATAATAAATGCGTGACGCTACAAAAATAGAGACCATCTTAATATCGTTGTCCTTTGCCTTTTCACAAAGCTCAACTAACCCTACCGTACCTCGAAAGAGAAATATGAATATTTTTTTTGTTGGCAATATTTTTTAATATTAAAAAATTATGAAGAAATTATAAATTTAGCTCATATAATTTTTAAAATTAGAATTTGGTTTTTATAATTTGCCATCACTAATGGATTGAATTTGTGACAGTAATTAGCTATTTAGGTGGTTTGTGACCGTTATAGATACTAAATTTTGACTTTTATTGAATTACAGTCCATAGCATAGTTTTTTTGACGGCAATAAAGTTACATAATTTCTATCTTTGCCATGGTATCATGTTCATACGATTGTATTGAACCCTTTCTATTCATATAATACATACAACTCTAGTTTCTAGTTGGACAGGTTCAATGGCTCTATACAAATTAGTCATTCCCCTGAGTCGTAGGTGCTCATTCTCTTTTGATTTGAATGGGCCCAGTCTACCGAGGCGAGGTACATATGGCCGGCCCTTCAGGTGTCTCGATGATACAAACAAAGAAAAGACAAATTCCAATCCCCTATCACAACAAGCCAATCCGAGGAAATAGAATCGAATAATCTACCTTTTGCCTTCCAGTTGATTACGCCCGACAATCAAGCTACACTGCCTTCTAACAAACAGCCATTTTTGATCCCTCTGATCCTGTTCTTGATTAAATGTGGAGACAAGGTATGTTCATTATACCCTTCCTAAAGACTAGAGATGTCCACCGAATAAGGAGAGACAGGGAAGTCTTCCCTGTCCACGTCCTTACCTCCAAGTGGCTTCATCTAATAAATTTGCGGAGATTGAGTTCCGAGCAACTTTTTTCTATATATAAAATAATAATAATAATTTTTAATAGATAAATTTTATTTTTCAATATAATTTTAATTTAAAAAAATGTAAAATATCTTACATAATATAATTTTTTTTAAAAAAATATATTTATTGTGTATAGAACACGGTTGAGGCAAAATGGGGATGAGAAGTGTGATTTCCATTTTTAGTCACGTGCTAACAAAAATATCATGTTTAGCTAACAAAAAGAAATTTGTTAGTGTTCCTTCCCTCTATTTAAACCGTGAGAATGGTGACGTCAAATATAATTCCGTTCTCGATGAGCTATTTTCGAGATTTCTCGAGCCAAGTTCCAGTAAAGAAATTAGGGTTTTTTTTGTGACGTAATCAATCTTCTCAATTTTTTTTTTTCTGTTCAAATCCAAAGTCAACCCAATAAACAAAACCCTAATTCCTCTTTCAATTTCATTTTTTTAAGCCAAACCCTTCTCTTATGTCTCTTCATTGCACTTTAGAGCCAAAGCTCCCCTGTTTCTTATTATTCAAAGAATATTCATTCTTCCTCAAATTCTCATCCCCAACTTGGCCTCTTTTGACTTCTTCCCTCTTCATCTCTATTTAAACCAAACCAATCCCAATTTCTGCCATTAACTTCATCAAATCTGAGATTCTCTCTGAAACTTGAGAGCTTAAACCTTAAATCAACAATGGCTGCTCATGGGTTTCCTCTGACTGCTCTGTTTCTGCTCTGTTTCTTGGGGTTCTCTCATGGACATATCCATCTTTCTTCTATCCCAAGAACTTTGGAGGTCACCGCTTCTCCAAAATCTGGACAAGGTAACAATTTTCAGCTCCCATAACTCAAGTTTCTGATTCTTCCAACACAGATCTGAA